TTAAAAGTCTTAAAAACAACTCATAATGCATTAAGTACTACTACTTTATGCATTTAGTCTTAAAATCTCTTAATCTACAATTAAAATAACATATAGTAAAAATTACCAATGCATATTATTACATTTTTCTTTTCATGTTCCCAAAATATTTTTGACACCTGTCACTCATGCCTTCACCCTCTCATACCTCTATGTCTTCTCCACATCCTCTAAGGTGATATTCAAATTGATATTCACCATGAGTTATTAAAAGTTCTCTCATTCAATTGTTCTAGAACTCTCGGTCTCGGTCTCGATCTCTTGATTCTTTGCTCTTGGTATAAATCGAACACATTTGTGAAGTCGTTTAAATATGTTGGATTTTAAACTGTATACAATTTTTTAATCGATAAACTGTAATTGAAAACATAACTCTTACTTATTCAAATTGTATTAATATGTAAATATCAAGTGTAACTTATATTATCGTTAAATATTCTCTAATAAAACCAGTGAAACTTCAAAATCGTTAAAATTCACGGCTTCCACCGTATTACACAAATACACAGCTACTATATCTTTAAATAAGGGTAAAATTATCTCTTTTGTTAATTAGAAAAGTATAACCGTTACGTAGTTTCAAAACTATGTCTTTTTATCATGGACCTTAATTTTAAGACGAAAATAATTTTATTAAATAATACATAAATCCGAAATTTAAAAGTTGTTTAATTTTTCTTCTTGTTTTTAATTATTTAAATATAACCATTTAAAAAAAAAGATGTTTAGCCTAACCCACGTGTTAAAAATGTTTAAAATAAAATAAATTAAATTAAATTATTTAAACCATAATTATATGTTCATTATTATTTAAATTAATTCAACAAACCCATTACCAATCACCGGGTCTTATTCATGGAGCGGTTCACGTGGGGATAAGATCAAATCCACCTGTTCCACGTGGCCTAACTATAAAATAATACATTTAATTAATTGATTGATTATCATTATTTATAAAATAATAATAATAATTATTATTATTATGTCGGTGTATTATTGAATTTTATAATTATATTTAAAAATAAACCGTAAAATATAAATAACTTTTATTTACTTACCCAGCACTAAAACGAGTCGTGCACTACATTGGAAGCATAATTACGCTTTTCATGAAATACGGATCAATAACGTGTAACAACTCGTTCTTAAGGGTGCGTTTGGTACATTAGACAGAGACAAGACAGAACATGACATGGATCATTGTTTCATGTTTGGCATGAATTTTATGTGGAACAGACAGGAACAGAGTGGAACAGGCCTGTTCCACCCGTACCCCATGGAACATGGTGGAACAGACTTATATTTTACCAATATAACCTTAAAATAAAGCTTAATTCTCTTCTAAAACATCAAATAGGTCTCTCTTTTACATTTTATTCGTTCTTTAAATTCTATTTATTGTATTTTATGTTTCTTAAATTTCATTTTACTGTTCTCAAAATATTATTTTTATACGGTTTCTATATTTTTATTAATTTATGTAATTTATTATATATTAATAATAAAAAATAATGTAGAAAAGAGATAAAAATAAAAATAAAAATAAAAAACCATATAAACTTTTTATTTGGTGTCATTTTAATTGTTTTGACCAAAACTTCAAATGATATATTTTGTTATAAAAAATAATTATTCTATTATAATTTAATAAATTACATAAATTGTTTTCTTGATTTTATCACCGTCAAACGTATTACGTAAGGTTCACGCCTGCAATTTGTTATTTTTGATGAGTTTTGTATGTTTTCCCTTGATCAGAGTAGTAAATATTCGATTTTAATCTTACATGAGTGATTGTACAGGTGATAGGTGAATTATTTTGTTTTCTGGAAACCAAGTTTTGTGAATGTGATGATACTATATGGGATCACTAACCAAATTGTTTTCTTGATGCTTAAATTTTATTTATTATTTGATATTTAATCTATTTTAATTGATTATACGTTTGTTGGTAGTATTTTCTTCTTAGTATGAAATGCATATAGATTTGCTTCGATAATGAATTCTTGATGCTTATATTATATTTACCTTTTTCATATATCATTAGTTGATTATGAAATCATGTATTTTTGCAAATGTATTTTTGCAAATGTATTTTTGCAAGTAGTAGTGGTTTGATGTAAGTTATATTTTGCACATTGCATTTGTTAACATTTATATTGATTATTTAGTGGAAAAAAAACACTAAACAGCTCACTAAGGGTAAATTGGTCATTTTAACTAGTTATGTCCAGTATTGTCATGTCTTATCAAACGCTGAACAGCTGTTCTGTCATGTCCTGTCATGTCCTGTCCTGTCTGCATACCAAACGCACCCGAAGGGTGTGTTTGGTGTCCAGACAAACATGATAGTACATGACAGAACAACACAAAATATAATAATTGTTCAATGTTTGGTAAGATAAAACTGGACATAATAAAATAAGTAAAATGATCAATTTACCTTTGATGACTTGTTTATTTTAATTAATTTATGTAATTTACTAAATTATAATAGAATAATTAATTTTTATAACAAAATATATCATTTGAAGTTTTCGTCAAAACAATTAAATGACACCAAGTAAAAAGTTTATGTAGCTTCTAATTTTTATTTTTATCTCTATTATATATTATTTTTGTATTATTAATATATAATAAATTATAAAAATTAATAAAAATATAGAAACCGTATAAAAATAATATTTTGAAAACAGTAAAATGAAAGTTTAAGAAACATAAAATATAATAAATAAAATTTAAAAAATGAATAAAATGTAAAAAAAATGACTTATTTGATGATTTAGAAAAGAATTAAGTTTTATTTTGAGGTTATATTAGTAAAATATAAGTCTGTTCCACCTTGTTCTTCCATAGGGTAGGGGTGGAACATGCCGGTTTCACTTTGTTCCACTCTGTTCCACATAAAAGTCATGCCAAACATGAGACATGGGTCTCTATCATGTTCTGTCATGTCCAGTGTACCAAACGCACCCTAAAAGGAGAACAACTGGTTAGAAAATTTGATGGCATTATTTTTAAATGTTTTGGAAAAAATAATCTATAACGACATCTGAAATATAAGTTATCAGGTTTTATTAAGATGTATATATAAATGACGGCAACTAAATGATGATTGTAAAAATGTTAAGAACTATGAGAACTGATCTTATTTATTTAATCTTTTTTGTTTAGGAGATATAATTAATTTTCAATTTTTATTTCATGAAGTCATCACGATAATTTTATCCTACCATCTTGAATTTTTAACGCCTATCAAATGGTACGCTGGGAGCCTATCTGACATACTAGTTGATAGCTGAAGTAGAATTCAACCCTAGAGTCGAGCTACGGTTTCTGGAAGACTTTAGGTGAACAACAATTGGCTTATTGGAGAAAGTTTATTATCATGAACTGATTGAAAAGTTAGATCTGAATGATGTTAGAAGAATAATTTTATTTAATTGAATTTTGTATATTACTTTGTCATTCTAAACATTTTTTTTGTTATCTTAGTTTACTAGAAGAAGATTTTTATTCCTCCTTGAATTTGAACATGAGACCTTCTGGTACTTTTGAATATTTCGTTTTATTTTGTCTTTTGTCGATGTTATAATACAGTTTTATGTGATTTTGAGAAAAACGATAAAATATAAATTTAAAAATATCTTTAAAAAAATCGATATTAATATGAAATTAACTATTTAAAAGTTCTTGTTTTATTATGTAACTTCTTTAATTCAACTTTTTTTTATTATAATTTAATTTAGGTTTAATAAGAAAATAATTGATTTTTGATCTAATAATATAATTTTTTATTAATGTAATAATTAAGTATTTTGTTAGAAGAAAAAATAATTATCCTAATTATATTTTTAACTTTTTTATATTTAAAATGAAATGTTTATCCAGTATTTGATTATGTTTATTTGTAGTTACTTATATGAATTCAAGTATGAAGTTTTAATAAGTTGTACTTATACATTATTTACTTGTAATCTTGAATTTTAAGTAATATGCATCAATAAACAATACTTCATGCATAAATAAAATGGTTTTAAGAATTTTTATCAAATACTTTATAATATAGTATAGATATAGATAGCGCTTTTAACATAGTATCAAAAAAATATTATATTTAAAAAAATAAAAAACAATTATATTTTTAAAAAATTAAAAAATATTATATATATATTTTTAAAAACATTAAAAAGTAATATATTCGAGAACTGCACGCTAGTTCTTTGAGAAGGGATGAACACGAAATCCAAAATCCCAAAATTCTGGTTATAGTGGACCGACTCTCCTCTCCTTCCCTCCACGTCTCTCTCTCTCTCTCTCTCTCTCTCGTTATCTTTCCACCATTTATTCCTCTCAATCAAACCCCAACTCACATGGAGAATGCTAAGGGTGAGTCTTAAATGGGTCCTTTTTCTTGTTACTTTCATTCATCTTCATCTTTCGAATCTGCTAATTCAGTCAATAAGTTGGTTCCATTTTGTTTTTAGATGGTTATTAACACATCCCATTTTCCCTTTTGAGGATTAAGAGCTGAATTGTTTCCATTAATCTATGTTTGAATTTCATTTGTCGTTGGGTAATTGAGTCGTTTGATCTTGATGAAGTAAACACATTAGAATCTGCTCATATTTCAGTGTAAATTACATTTTCGATGTTGATTTTGATATGAATCTTGTTGCAAATAAGAACTTACATTGATCTCTTGAATGGTTAAACACCCATTTCGATTTTGCAGTCGAAATGAAATCAGGTGGAATCCAATATCAATATGTGGATCGTTTGTTGAAATGGATTGACGCATGATATTTTAACAGTTTGGAAATGGTTTCTGCATTGCTCTCATATAATCTCAATCTGTGGTTTTCTATTGTGGATTTTGTTAGTTAAATCATAAACTGGATTCCTAGTAATAATCGGAAACTAGTTACCATTGTTGGATCTTTTAGTGTTTGTGATTGATGGTTTAAATCTGTTCTTGTTATATTCTTATGTTATGCTTTCTTGTTGATCAGTTGTTGAAGCTAAAGATGGAACAATTGCTGTTGCTTCTGCTTTTTCTGGTCACCAGGAAGGTAATATAATTCAGTTGGTCCATAGTTTGAATATTTAGTTTACTTTGAAGATATTTTATGTATCATGGGGATAATTCGGGAGCTGACGGATAGGGTAACAGAGTCCCACGATAGACGGAGGGTTACAAAAAGTTTTATGCCCTTTAGGGTGGAGGACATGTTTGCGTACATCCCACCTCCAAACCCTGCTTTCGAGTGGGATATACTAAGTTCGTTTGGTTTGAATTTTCTTTCTGTTGTTTCTCCCAATTTTTAGCTTAATAGTATCTACATATGATCTATGTTGGTGAAGGGGTATCTGCTCTTTGTTGGAATCCTATCGTGTAGACACAGACTATCAAATATATATATATATATATATATATATATATATATATATATATATATATATATATATATATATATATATATATATATMTGTGTGTGTGTGTGTGTGGGAACTTAGAGAGAGGTTCAAAGGGGTTCCATGTATCTGTTAACGTTTTTTCTTTGAAAGGCTGCTTCTTGGTGTGTTAGTTATCAAGATTATTGTTTTTAAGCAGTTGTACAGGATAGAGACCACAAATTCTTGACAAGGGCTGTTGAAGAAGCATATAAAGGAGTTGAATGTGGAGATGGAGGGCCGTTTGGTGCCGTTGTTGTTCACAAAGATGAAGTTGTTGCGAGTTGCCATAACATGGTTCTAAAACACACCGATCCAACTGCACATGCAGAAGTTACAGCAATACGAGAGGTTAGACTCTTGTCTTTACGCAGACTTAAGTACACTTTTATGTTCTACAACACACAGATCCGAATATTTTAGCGATTTTGTGAAATTAGATCGTGCAAGAATCAAGATGATCGAATTTGTCTTGTGGGTGTTGGTCAGAATTGTCATAACTGTTCTTGATTTCTGCTTTACAGATCTTGCAAAGTTAAGATTTTGAGCATATTGCATGATCACTTTACAGTTTCTCTCTTCTTCAGGCGAAATGTGGATATCATTTCATGATCTTTTTCAATTCTGGTATTGTACAGCAATAGTTGCTGGTAGGTTTTACCGAATCTTGGTTCTTTTCTTTAATTGTTGTATCTGTTCATCTCAGGCATGTAAAAAGCTGAACAAAATTGAGCTTTCAGACTGTGAGATATATGCGTCTTGCGAGCCTTGCCCTATGTGCTTCGGTGCCATTCATCTTTCAAGGATTAAGGTTCCGTTCTAGCCCCATATGCTCTCCAATTGTTCCATCACATATACCCGTTTAAATATTCTAACCCTCAATGATCTTTTTAGCCCGGAACATATTATATTGTTAGAATCTTATATCAGTTAGACACAGATGACAGATCCACTAATGAGAACACACAGACAAACAAATCATTCTCTCATGTTTTGTCTTCATGTGATTGGTGGGATAAGAAATCTTATGTTCACCAATCTCGTGAAAACACACCAACAAGCAGATTGCTCCTACGCCCCAAGTTTCTCTGTCTCTCTCTCTGATGATGTGTCTTCACGTGATTGGTGGGACAAGGATCTCACCAATCACGTGAAAACACAAACAAGCAGAGGCGCCCATGCTCCAAATCTCTCTTTTATGATGTGTATTCACATGGTTGGCGAGATAAGGAGGGGACATGAGATCAAAAAGGGCTTTTTGGGGTCTTTTTTATAAAATATGGTTTTGTCTGTTCTATATGTTGCAGAGGCTCATTTACGGGGCTAAAGCTGAAGCAGCGATTGCAATTGGGTTCGACGATTTTATCGCAGATGCACTGAGAGGTACTGGTTTCTATCAGAAGGCTCACTTGGAGATCAAACAAGCAGATGGTAATGGAGCCATGATTGCTGAACAAGTATTTGAGAAAACCAAAGCCAAGTTTGCCATGTATTGATTCATATCTCAAAACTGTCAATTTCTAACTCTGTAATTGCTCAACAATCTGTTGCATATTTAAATGGTATAAAATCTGATGTTTCTTTGAAAAGAAATTTGCTGAATTTTAACCACTTGGTTGCGGTACACTGGTTAAGACTTAAGGTATCTGGTTGTAGTATACTGGTTAAAACTAAAGGAGCTGTAGTAGAAATTTCATCTTTCTCAGGTTTGATTACAGGCACGGTTAAAACCCAAATCAAGGTCATTCGTGATCGTCTGATGGATTAGTTCCTCCATTCTAGTGTAGTTCTAAGGGGACCCACTTTCATTTTAAACCTGTATATTTATAGATTTAACCATCTCACTTACTCTTCTTCTTTTTTTCTTTTTTTTATAATTATTGGTTTTAAATTTTTTATTTTTAACCCTTATTATGTATATGAATTGATTTATTTAAAATATATTAATAAGATTTATATATTATTTTTAGTAAATTATATCATTAAATATATCTCATTAATACCTTTAAAGGTACAAGAACTTGATACCCATTATTTATTACGTTTTTATTATTTGCGATGTACGGAAAGTTTCGAGTAATCTGCTTCAATTTTCCAATCTGACTCCAACCAAAAAGTTTTGAGGCTCAAGTTCTTGTAACTTTAGGGTGCGTGACAGGACGAGACAGGACAAAACAGAACAGGACATGACAGCTGTTCAGCGTTTGGTAAGACATGATAGGACTGGACAGAACTGGTTAAGATGACTAATTTACCCCCAGTGAATCAATTCTAGAATTCTAACCATCATGATCAAAATAATCTACCATACTCTAAAACTCACTTGAGAAGACAACATCGGATTCTAAACACTAAAAACTTCAACTTCAATCAATTTTACAGTCAGTGACAATTTCGATTAAAACCCTAAAATGAAAGTTGTTTTCCAATCAATCCTAGCAGTATTTCAAACTATGCTACAGAACTTTGCTCCCTATACTCCAAGATCAGAGATTTGGAGATGAGAAAATACAAGAAAAATATTAAAAAAATCTGATGAACAATCTTACAAAAGTAGTTCCTAATGCTGCAGATTACCAAAATGAGCTCGTCGTCTAGGTTTGTAAATGCAATCGTCACAGTTGCTTCCGTTGTCTCCGTTGGCCACAGAGAAGAGAAGTGAAGGAATGATTAAGCAGAAGTTGCCGATGTGAAACAAAATGCAAAATCGATACCGCCGATTGAAAACAACAAAATCGATAGAAACAGCAAAATCGATTGAAATCCAGTGGCAAAATCGATTGAAACAGGTAGAACGATTCGTGAAATTTGTTGATTACTGTCCAGCAATCGATACCGCCGATTGAAAGGGAAGAAGGGTGACGCTTGCAATCGATACCGCCGATTGAAGGGGAACGATTCGTGAAGTATACGGTGGAAGCGAAGAAGGGTTTTGAGAGGGTAGATAGGTAAAATATTTCTTGTTCTACTTAGTTCCGGGGGGGTAAGGGTGGACAGGAGTATCCCACCCGTGTTCTAGCTAGTTCTAGTGAGTCCAACATAAGGCCACACCAAACATAGGACAATTGTGTTCTGTCATGTTCTGTCCCATCATGTCCAACGTACCAAACACACCCTTAAAGATATTAATGGGATATATTTAATGATATAATTTACTAAAAGTAATATATAAATCTTAATAATATATTTTAAATAAATCAATTCATACATAATATATAATTAGGAAGGTACTTGCATAATGTAACGGGATAAATTTCGATTTTAATGTTTAATTTTTATTCTTTATCTCTATCGATATAATATGATTTTTTGTGTTTTTGAGAAAACGATAATGTTTTTATTTTTAAATGAAATATAAATTTGAAGATAGCATAAAAATTTTAAATCGATATTAATATCAAATTAACTATTTAATTATTATAATTTAATTTAGATTTAATAACAAAGTAATTTATTTTGATTTAACAATATAAATTTTTATAAAGATAAAAATTAAACATTTTGTTACAATTCAATAATTATCTTAATTATATTTTAGATTTTCTATATTTAAAATAAATGTTTATATTGTATTTGATTATATTTATCTGCAGTTACCTACACTAATTTAAAAACGAGGCTTTAATAAGTTGTACTTACACAAAATTACTTGCAATCTTGAATTTCAAGTAATGTGCATCAATAAACAATACTTCATGCATAAAAAAATGGTTTTTAAGAATTTTTGTCAAATATTTTATAATATACTGTAGATAAGAGTTAAAAATAAAAAATTTAAAAACAATAAAGATAAATAAAAAGAAAGATGTAAGTGAGATGGTTAAATCTGTAAATATATAGGGTGTAAAATGAAAATATATAAAATCAGATTATAAAAAAAGTGGATCCCCTTAAAACACCCATATTTCTACAAATACTTTTAAAACACCCCTATTTCTACCAAACTTTTTCTACACGACCTTATTTTTAAATTAAAAAAAAAATTAAACTTATTTAAAAAGTCCCGTTTAAATGGAGAAAAATGGAACATTAGTTGACGTGGTAGGAGCTTTTTAACATTTTTTCCGATTAAATCTATAACCCTCATTATTAATGTTAATAAAATATTAATTATTAATAAAGATCACAAATAATTGCAACCCTTTCAATTAGTTTTAATCTTTTTTTTTTGACCGGCAACAAAGACGAGATAGCATAGAAACTAGCAAGACGCTAGCAAAAGAGAGTACAGGTTAAAAACAAGACATGGGAGAATTACACCACTCTATCCAACTAGTCGYCATAACAACTTTCGGCACCCTGTTTTTAAACCAGAAAAAAGAATACGCCTGAAGCTGGCCCGCAAGAAATGTAGCCGTCATCTGAGAAGGAACTGAGAAAGTTTTGCGGTTGCGCAAGTTCCAAATAATCCAGAAGAATCCATACACCACTCCGATAAACGCCCTCTTACACGAAAAATTCCCAGCCACCTCCGAGCTACGGTCAAGAAGATTATCAATAGAATTCACCTGTTCAATGTCCACTTTCCACCATTTGCACAAATCCTTAAGCAATTGCCGAGATATCGAGCATCCTATGAAAAGATGTTCCTCGTCTTCTTCCACACAATCGCACAGAGGGCATAGGGAGGAGAGACAAACCACTCCTCTTTTAGCAAGATTAATTTTAGTCGGAAGCCTTTTGTGAAGAAGACGCCAAGCTAGAATATTAATTTTAGAGGGAACCCAAGTGACCCACCAAGAATTTCTGAAACTAACCTGGTGAAGCGAATTAGCATCATACGCAGCTCTCATCGAAGAGACCGAGAAGTTACCGTGAGAAGTCAGAGCCCATCGCCAAGAGATATTGATCCCGTTAGAGCTTTGATCTCTTTGAAACCAGTCCGCAAAAGGAAGATTGAGGCTATTGTATTCCTTGTGGATTTTTAAAATGTTCCTCCAGAGTCCCGGAAATCTACCATTTTTGACCAAGTTGTTCATGCCGCCATCATCACCATGGAGAGCAATGATAACCCGTCTCCAAATGTGATTATGCTCCAATTTGAATCGCCACCTGTTTAAAAAGTTTTTTTTTAATAATTTTTTAATGATCATTATCTTTTGTTTTAGTTTTTTAATCAAAAAATATATCCCATTAAATTAGAAAATAATTTCGTCTTTTTTTTATTAACCTGGATATCCAACTTGTTATGCGAATCAAATAATCTCAGGACGACCACCTGTTTTGCAGATGGTTCGGAGTCACCGCATTTGAATCTTCGTGGCCACAAGGGGATTTTTATTCCTCCTTGAATTTGAACCTGAGACCTCCTGATACTATCCAAAACCCTTTTTCTTTATTTCCGTAGCTTAATATCGAACGTCTTAATTAAATTATGTATGTTTCATTGGTTGTTGATTTCATATATTTATTATTCTTCAATAAACTGATCTTTTATATACACATTTGCATTTAATTGATTTTGTTTTTCTATATTTAATAAACTGGTTCATATATGTAATGTTTCGTGTATGATTAGTTTATATATGGTCTCACATGTGAATGGATTTGTGATTAATGGTTTTTCGTTCTCTACTCTCATTTTTTAGAGTTATTTTTTATTTATTTCTCCTATTTTTTTGCATATATTAAATACCAAATTTCCGTGTTTTTCTCCGTTTATTTGAAAAGTTTTAAAATGATGAGGAAATACAAAGAATGAGAATTTATTCTGAAAACCTGCACTTTCTGGGAAGTGCCCACGGTGTCATCATTGTGGGAAGTTTACGAATTTTTGGATAAAGTTCACTTTTGGTGGATGTGTTTATGAAAATCTTTATAAAAGATATCTTACAGCTGGAGCTGCCTTGAAAAGTTGTATTTTGGAATTTAAAAAAAAAATTTGAATGGTCTTTGCCCACAAGGTTTGTATAAACTCCATTTTCTTTGGGTATTGTGTCTCATCCTTATCCACTCCTCCCCTATTTAAAGAGGTCTTGGGTTCATTTGAAGATCATTCATTTGAAGCACTACTACCTGAAGTCTCTATTCTCTTCTTCTTTTAAGTTAAGTTTAGCATTTAATTTTCTTGTATTAAAGTTGTAATTGTAATCTGTTGCCCACAGTCTCACCATTGTAGCAACAGACTTTAGTTCTATTTTAATGAAAGTTATGTTTTAGTTTTATTTCTTGTCTTATATTATGTTTTTCATGTCTATTATGAGTTAATTATTATATGGGTATGTGTGTGAGTTTAACTTAGGATTTTTATGCAATAATTGTGTATTTTTATTCTCTATCACTTCGCAACTTGGTCACTTAAGACGAGACTAAAACTTAATACGGATAAACCGATCACTTTGAAATGTTAATATTAGATATTTGACCCAGAGATAGACAGATTCGAAATACGGCTTAAGTGGTACACAAAGAACTTGAGAAAGTTTTTGATAATTACGTAGAGGTACAAATTTTGTATGTATTTAGCTAAGGATTAAGCATTGGAGATTCATATTACAAAAAGATTTGAGTATGAATTTTATTTTTTTTATGTTTATTGAATCAACAAGTTTCGAAGTGATGAGAGTGAAAACTTTGTGGGGACTGTTTATAAATCTTCACTTTCGAGATATTGGAATTTTTATAAACATCTCACAAATTTCTGACCATTATAGTGTTGCTTTTATCTTAAGGAATATTTACACCCATGCTCATCTTTTATCCTATAAGTTTATTTCGCTAATTCATCTTTTAAAACTTTTTATAAACAAAATCTAACTTTTAATCACAAACCGAAACATGCTCAAGAAGTTCATGAAATTCTCCTATTCTCAGTAGTTCAATCCCTGGGGAAATGATCTCGGTATTTTACCACTTTATTATTTGCAAGCGATCATAATATTAGCGTGTACTTGCACCGCCACTGTGAGGACTTTATGCCACGAGCGATCCTAAGCTACCAATCATGCATGACTTATTGTTAGTGTTGTGTATTGTTAGAAACATGAAATGGTTTATACATGGTTCCACATGTGAATGGATGTATGTTTTTTTTATTCTCTATCATGTATGGATTTGCATAGGGGTCCTCATGAGTTGAGTTGATCGGGTTGAAATCATTTGAACAACTCAACTCAATGCTTGCGGTTTGAAAAATCTCAACCCAACCCAACCCAACCTAAAACAAAGTGCAACCCAACCCAACTCAAATCCTACGGGTTGGTATCAAAATATTCTCCCAACCTTGGATATCTCGTTTTCTTTAGTCTACTTGTAATTTCCTTTTCATTATCAATCATTTGGTACAACTTATCCATACTTCTTAAATCTTAAGTATATCACATTCAATTAATGTTCTCAATTTCTCTCTCTGTATGTATGTATATATATATATATATATATATATATATTATGTTCATGGTTACTAAACATGTATACAAATGAGTAGTTATATAGAGATGGAGAATAGATGTATATGAAGAGGGTATGTGATGTTGTATTTGCCTGATGTACCTATTAATAGGGATTCAACAATAATATAAAATCAAAAAATAAAATGATATCGGGTTCATCGGATTTAGTTTGGTTCATATAAAAATAACTCAATATCAATCCAATACTTACGATTTAAAGATTCTATAACTTAATTAGATATCCCGTTACTTTAAATTAAATTATTTCACGTTGGGTTGAATTAAGTTTACTCACTTTTACTGTTGTCCATTGATAGAAACATGAAATGGTTGGTATATGATTGCTTCACAAGATTTTTTCTATTCACCATTATTATATTTTATATATGCAATTATGATTTATTTATTTTACATTTTTTAATAGCTTTTAATCATTTACCTTAGTTTTAAAATAAGCAACCATCTCTTTTGGGAAACGTGTAGTATGAGTGCGCATAAAATAAAATTAAATATTTATTAGATTAGATGAACGAACAAGATTGGTTTGTAAAATTTGTTAGAATTACATAGTTTGTAATTGAAATCACCGCTATACATACGTACATACATACATATATATATATATATATATATATATAGTATATTTCAAATGCAACCATGTCCATTTGTACAACCAATGCAACCCAATTATTTGAGATATTTATGAAAATGATGAGAGTTCAATTATTATGATTTGAATATTTATGAAAAATGACTATAGTTCATTAATTATGATCAATACTTTATATTAGAAAACAATCAAAACTTTTATGAAATCACATATTCATCAAATTAAATGGACGATGGAGATTGAGTTGTATTGATTGTACAAATGTAAAAAGTTGTATAATAACTCACCTCTATATACATATGTGAGGGGGGGGGGGGGTTCATTTACAAAGTCAACCATTAGTATAAATCATATAAATCAATGTTAATCATTTATCTAATTTAATAAATATTTTATTCAATGAATATTTGAATTATTTGTTAACATAAAACATTGACCAACTCAAATAATATTCCATAAATATTCAAATATTAACAACCAATTAAATAATTCAAATGTGATTTATTTATGTTTTTTTTAAATCATTTTTTCACATTGATACTGAATGAAATCCAGTCATTAAACCCCTTCCACATCTCTCTCTCTCTCTCTCTCTCTCTCTCTCTCTCTCTCAATTCTGACATGGAGAATGGGAATCACCAAATGGGTACTTTTTTCTTCTTCCTTTTAGTCATCTGCTTCTTAATTCTAGTTTGAGTCAATAACATATCCCATTTGCCCCTTTCAATTGCTTCCCTTAATCTACGCATTTGCCCCTTTGAATTGCTTCCATTAATCTATGCATTTGCCCCTTCCAATTGCTTCCATTAATCTATGTTATGTTTGAATTTAACTTCGTTTCATATTGTGCTTTGGAAAAAAAAGGGGCAAAAGTCAACGAAATTTGATCTGGTTAAAACCCATATAGATTGATTTAGCAGTTGAGGTTGAATCCAATATGAATATGTAGCTCCTTGGGGGTGTGTGTGTGTGTTTTAAAGCAGTTATAGAGGATAGAGACCACAAATTCTTGACAAGAGCTGTTGAAGAAGCATATAAAGGAGTTGAATGTGGAGATGGACGACCATTTGGTGCCCTTGTTGTTCACAAAGATGAAGTTGTTGTGAGTTGCCATAACATGGTTCTAAATTACACTGATCCAACTGCACATGCAGAAATTACAGCAATACGAGAGGTTACACAGACTCTCTCTTCTTAATTATTCAGCTACACTTTTTTTTATGTCTTGTGGGTGTTGGTCGTAACTGTTGTTGAAATTTATGCTTAAGAGATTGAGCATCTATTATGATCGCTTTGTTTGTGTTTTATCTCAGGCATGTAAAAAGCTGAACCGAATCGAGCTTTCTGATTGTGAGATGTATTCTTCTTGTGAGCCTTGTCCTATGTGCTTCGGCGCCATTCAAATTTCAAGGATCAAGGTTCGGTTCTAGCCCCATATTATGTGATTCGGTGTCGTTCAACTTACACATGGATCTACGAATCATATGAAAACACATAAACAAACAAATCATTCTATGATGATGTGTATTCACGTAATTGGTGAGACAAGAATCTTATGATCCCTTCTTATCCACCAATATGCCCCAAATCTCTCTCTCTCTCTAATGACGTGTCCTTTACGTGATTGGTGGATAAGAATCTCATCCACCAATCACGATAAAACAAAGTCTTCCATGCCCCAAATCTTTTGCTGCTAATGATGTGTTTCACATGATTGGTGGGACGGGAAAAGGGTCGGGTTTTCTTTAATTTGTTTAGTCTGTTTTACGTGTTGTAGAGGCTCGTATACGGAGCTAAAGCAGAAGCATCGATTGCAAGTGGAATTCCGATCGGCGATTTTATCTCAGATGCATTGAAAGGTACTGGTTTTCATGAGAAGGCTAACTTCGAGATCAAACAAGCAGATGGTAATGGAGCCATGATTGCTGAACAAGTCTTTGAAAGAACTAAAGCCATGTTTCCCAAGCGTTGATTCATCTCTCAAAATTGCCAAATTTCTAGCTCTGTAATTGTTGTTGCATACTTAAAAATAAATATAATAATTAAAAATATTTATATAAATTATATAAAAAGTATAATTATACTTATCTTGTTTCACAAATAATAAA